TCCCGCCTGGCGGGCGGTGCGGCGCCCCCTAGCGGCGGCGCGTGGGGGCTGGCCGCCTTTCCCCCTCGGTTTTCCTGACAGGAGAGGGGCGGGCCGGCTCTTCCCTTTTAAATTTTTTTTTTTTTTCCTTTCCTCGTTTATTCGTGAGCAAGGGAAACTCGGCGGGCAGCTTGGCTTTATCACCCGGCTTCTCCGAGCCACGAGGAAGGTCTGGGGGCGCCCTGTGGGCCGAGGCGGTTGGTGGAAGGTCGAGGTGCTCCATTCCACCAGGGACACCTCTTCCACTGCCGGGGAACTAAAGGGCGCGGGGAGTATTCGTGGTTTATTATGCCGCTTTAAAACCGATGTGGACGGATGCGTGCTTTTCTTATGTCCGTGTAGCTCATATGTGGTTTTTCTTCCACTTTCAGAGGCAAAAATTAGAGCGACCCAAGCCCAGCCGTGGCCGTTTTGCAAGGGATTTTGCAGAGAAAACAAAAAGGACGAGGAGAAAAGCCAGAAATGGGTAACGCGCAGGCAGACCATAAAAAAAGCCAGCCCCGGACCACCTGAAACCCTCTGGTGCCTCAAGTCACACGAAATTAGTAAACAAACTGCTTTCCTGATAACAAAGGCACTTCTTTCGTGCCATTTTTTTGTGTTTTCATCTAACAACCCTCAAAGACAAGGGTGCTGTGAAAAGCCGAACTGAAAAAAAAAACAAACTGTAAAAGAAGCTCACATGCTTTCTAGCTTCCCCTGAGGATTAAAAGCCAAAGGGGTGATTCTAGTTTGGCCTTTTTCAGGCGCGATTTACCACCATTAATCCCCCTCCCAACACGCACACATCCCTCTCTCACACACGCAACCGCCGCCGGCATTTTGGACAAAACCCTTCCCTTTCGGACCAAGGCCCTCTCAGAAGGCTGAAAACCCGCTGCCAAAGCTGCTCGGGGGCGGGGAGGGGGGGGGGAAAGTGCTGCGGTGCATCCCGGCGGGGTCGCCCCCTCAGCCGCGCCGGGTGGGCGCGCAGCCCCTCGTGAGGGGACGAGGGCAGGCGTCGAGGCGGCCGCTGAGGGATGGGGCTGAGGCGTTTGGGGAGAAATGCCGCCTCCAGGGCCCGGTTCGCCTCCTCCATGCAGCCTCCGGGGGAGCTTGTCGCTGTGCCCGGCGGGGAGAGGGGCAGGAGGTGCCGGAGCAGCCCCCGGGCAGGGCCCGGGCCGGGGTCGCGGCTGGCACGGGCAGAGGGGGCGGGGCCGGAGGGGGGGGCCACTTCCCTTCCCCTCCGCCCCGCCCCTCGCGGGAAGAGGCGGGACTCCTCCGCCTTCGCCCCGCCCCTCCGCCCGCCGGGTGACGTCACCGTCAGCACCTCCCGATTGGGCCGGCGGGGGCAGGTGACCTCGCGGCGTGACGCCAGTGCGTCGCCGGGGAGGCGAGGCCGGGCCAGGCGAAGCGAAGACGAGGCGGAGGGCAGGTAGACAAGATGGCGCCGCCCGGTCGCGGGGCTGGAGGTGGCGACGCGGTGCGGGTTTCCTAGGGGCGGGCGGTGGGTGGTGACCGCGGGGACAGCTGGAGCCGCTGGCCAGGGGCCGCGGGGCGTCGCTCAGGTAACGGGCGGGCCGGGAAGGGTAGGGGCAGGGGC